GCAGGAGGAGGAAAAAGGGGGGGGTTACTCACAGGCTGTGAGCCATGGCAGTCATCTTCCCAGCAGGGCTGCCTTTCCCTTGGGTTTCCATCTCTTTTCCCTCTGGAAGGAGAAGGCAAGAAGGTGCTCTGTGAAAACACACACCCCCCCCCACCAGCAACGTGGCTTCAAGTGTCCTGAAGCCACCCCAGCTGCTCCTTGCCCTGGGGGCAGGAAGGCAAGCACTGCATGTGCCAAGAAGTGGCCTGGTGTGGGGAAGAGGGTTGTCCCTGGGGATGGGAACAGCCTCCCTGCCAGGGCCCTGGGCCACCTCCTTCACCATGGAAAGGAGCCAGGAGGGAGTTGTATTGATCTGTCACCAAAGCCCTGAGCTGGGCTTCTCCAGGGTGGTCAAGGGGACCCCACCTCCTGTTCCAAACACCTCATTTTTGGGCTGAGAGCCTTCACAGAATCATGGGATGGTTTGGGTGGGAAGGGACCTCAAAGCTCATCCAGATCCAACCCCCTGCATGGGCAGGGACACCTCCCACCAGCCCAGGTTGCTCCAAGCCCCATCCAACCTGCCCTTCAACACCCCCAGGGATGGGGCAGCCACAGCTTCCCTGGGCAACCTGGGCCAGGCTCTCACCACCCTCACAGCACAGAATTCCTTCCCCCCAGGCAGTGCCAGGCTCCTGGGGTGGCCAGCAGGACCACCCAGCCCACATTTCCTTTGGACAACATTCCCTTCCTGAGAGCTCCAGGGCTGGGGGGGCTGTCCCCCCTCTTTCTCCTGTCACCTCTCATGTCAGGCTGGAGCAGAATCCATCCCTGGGATTCCCTCCCAACCAGCAGCCTCCTGCCCAGGGGTGGCTTTTGGAGCCCCAACATTTTTGGAGCCTCCCTGGATCCACCCAGGAAGAGCAGTTGGGGTCACCCCTTCATTTCATGGCTCTGAACCCCCCCCCCCGCCCCAAAACCTGCAGCTTTGCTTTCTGGCTGGTGCTACCAGAGCTCTCCTTGCTCAGGGCAGGTGCCCCAGGCATCCCACCCAGCCCCACCAGCAGGGCTGGGAATGCTCAGCCTTCCCTCACCTGCCAGCCAGGGACACAGCCCCTCAGAGGGTGGGTATGATGGGATTCACAACCATTTGGACCCAGCAGGGAGGAGAAACCCCCAACAAGCCAAGACTCCAGCTGGCCAAGCCCACCCCGACCACCATGGGGGATAGAAGGGGATGGGGGGATGTCCCACCAGGCTGGTGGGGAGAGGTCTGGGAAGGATGGGCCAAGGGAACCACCAACCCCAGAAAGAAAGCTCTGACACAAGCCAGAAAGAGCATTTCTGCCCCTTCCACCCCCTGGCCAGGATTTATCCCTGAAACCAGGAGATGGGGGAGCTCTGGAAATCCACTGCAGACCCACCTTGTGCCCCAGCTCCACAGGTGGATCTTGTCACAGCCACCTGATCCCTCCCCATGGGTCACAACCTGTCCTGCCATCGACACCACCTGCAGCATCTCAGCCCTCCCTTGATCAATATTTCAACCCAGAAGGAGCCACGTGCTCCTGCAACGTGTCCTCCAAGCAAAGCAGCTCTGCCCTTCACCCCCACCATGGGGCTCCTCAACATCTTGGGGCTCCTCAACATCTTGGGGCTCCTCAACATCTTGGGGCTCTCCAGCCAGAACTGCCACTGGCTCTGGGCAAAACTCAAAGCCATGAGTTCAGGATGTTCCTCCAGCTGGGACAGGGTGGATTTTCCTGGCCCTGCCTGGTGCAGAAGGAGCTGCTGGTGGGAAATCACAAGCTGAGGATGTTCCTCCAGCTGCTTCTCACCACCACCTCAAACAGGGGGGGGTATTTTTGGGGCAGACAGAGCCAGCCCTGTGCTTGCAGGAGGGTTGAAGCTGCAGCCTGAAATAGTTCCAGGCTCCTTCATGCAGGATTCACAGCTTCATGCAGTGGCAGGAGCTGCTGAGGCCTCGTGAGGCAACTGAGAAGCTTCTATTTTGGGGGGGAAAAGTTCCTCTCACAACGGTGCATCTTGGGGCTCCCTCTGGTTCCCCTTTGCTCCTGGGGTGAAAAAATAGGTGGCCAGGAAACCTGGGGTCTCCATCAGAGGAGGAAAAGAACCCCCTGAGCAAAAGAGCCCAAGGGGTTAATTAACCCAAGGGGTTAATTGTCACATCACCCCCCAGAAGCTTCTATTTTGGGGGGGAAAAGTTCCTCTCACAACGGTGCATCTTGGGGCTCCCTCTGGTTCCCCTTTGCTCCTGGGGTGAAAAAATAGGTGGCCAGGAAACCTGGGGTCTCCATCAGAGGAGGAAAAGAACCCCCTGAGCAAAAGAGCCCAAGGGGTTAATTAACCCAAGGGGTTAATTGTCACATCACCCCCCCCCCTGGGCAGGGGGAGAAGTTTTGAGGGATCCCAGAGCCCCCCCAGCAGGAGCTGGAGGGAGGTGGGATGAGGGGGGAAGGAGCTGCCTGGGGCTGGGTCAGCAGGGGTGGGTGTTTCAAGGCAGGCAAAGAGGGGCCAAAGGGGGTGTCAGCCCAGCAGTGGGGCAGGCCAGGATCAGGGGGGATCCCAGAGGATCAAGGTGGGATCATCCCCCCCCCTTTCCCCACTGCAGAGCTTGGCTACAAGTCACAGCCCCCCTGGGGACCCCCCCAAAAAACCAAAACCACTTCCTACCCCAACAGTTCCAGCCCCAGCAGGTGCTGCCCTGTCCCCAGGAGGTGACACTGGGTGGCTGGGGGGGTGTCCTGCCCACCACCCCAAAGCTGGAGCAGCTTCTGGAGATTCCCCAGCTTGGCCAGTTCCCATTCCCATGGGCACAGCAGGGGGGACATCTGTCCCATGCTGGGGGGACCCCAAAAATCCTCCTCCCTCCCCAACCACTTGGAAAAGCCCCCATGGAGCTCCAGGAGGGTCTGGCAGCTCCAAGGGGAACCAAGGGGCTGGTCCCCTCCACAGGCTGGAAACTTGAGCTCCTCCTGTGACACCACCCACCTCCACTGCAGCCCACCCACCCAATTCCAACCCTCCCACCCCTTTGCATCCCCCCCCCAGACCTCTGGAAACACACACAAACCCTTCAACCTCCCCTCATCCCATCTCACCTCCCCTTCCAAACCCTTGGGGACAAAACCAGAGGAGAAACCTCCTCCATGGTTACCTGGTGGCACCAGCTCTGCCTTCTCCTCTGCTTCTTCCCTCTGGTCCTGGCTTTTTCCCAGTTGCTAACTGGTCCGGATGGGGTAGGACCCATTTTTATACCCTGCCCCATGTGATCCAAACAAATGCCCTAGGGATGAGTTTTTACACTGACACAAAGAAAAGGGGCAGGGACTCAAAAAACCTGTTGAACCACAATCCACACTCAAGGGACAGGAATTTTCCACTCTGGGCTGGCTCTGGGTGCCACTCCCTGCTCCTCACATTCCCCTTTTCCCCACCATTCCAAAGGTTTTCCAACCCCATTCCCAGATGTTCTCCTGGAGGAGGTTGAAGAGGGGATGTGACTGAGTCCTGGGGTCCATCTACGTGCTGAAATCACCTTCTCCCTGGGAGAAATGACAGCAGGAGGTGCCCAACAGGGTGGGAAATGGGATGGGGAGGCCTTTTCCCCCTGGAAAAACCAGGTGGTCCTGCAGCCTTGGGCTTGGCAAGGGCACTTCTGCACCAGGGGGCTTCTTGGGAGCCATGAAGGGGCTTCTTGGGAGCCACCAGGT